TGAAAGGAGTTGAGATTCAGTATGCTTATTAAACTGCCTTGAAAAGAGTCGAAATTGAAGAATTTGAGATTTTAAAAGCTTTCATTTGAATTTAGTATTTTTGAAAAGAGTTAAGGAATATTATAAAAATTTGAGAAATATGTGTTCAACCGCGTCACAAATATATTCCGCAAGCAGGGTAAATTTTCACTACTCTCATGGGAGCGGGCTGATCGCCTCGGCAGGTTAAATAGATGCATATATGGTTCGTGTCGTTCGACCCTCGGCAATGCACAATTTATATTTATATGTTGGCTCGGGTCGTACGACCTCGACATGACTCACGCATGATAACTCTTTGGAACTAATAATAATTGACATTACTTTATTGGCTTGAGATATAAATTGTTAAATGATGAAAAAAAAATTTGGGAATTCCCATTAGTAAAAGAATTGTTGATTATTTCCGGTTATTTAATTTTCATCCATATTATGTAATCCATGCTTAATTATAACATCGGTATATTATTGTTAGCTAATAGTAAGTGTCGGAGTCGACCCCTCGTCACTACTTCTTCGGGGTTAGACGAGATTCTTACTGGGTAAGCATTGATTTACGTACTCATACCACACTTGCTGCACATTTTTGTGGAGGCACATATGTCTAGTGGCCCTGTGGGCACGGAAGCGCGGTTATTGCGGGGATTTAGGTGAGCTGCATCCTATGTTACGAGTCTGTAACATGCGGAGTCTCCTTCAGAGTTGTTTATATTTTTCCTGTCTAATTTGTATTCCGGACAGATGCTGTATTTTATTTTATCTTCCTAGTTGATGCTCATGCACTTGTGACACCGGGTTTTGGGGGCACATATGAGTTGTTCAGTTGTGGATTCGGAAAAATATTATAAATTACTCTGTAAATTCTATCTTTTACTATTTAATTGAAGGAAATTATGATTTCATACTAAAATGAGTAATCAAGTTAATCCCTTATATTATGTGTCATGATTCTCTTGTACATGGATCTTAAGAAAAAATTAATTAAGATGGGATTTCGATTACTTTACCCTTAAGTATATCTTAATATTTAAATCTTTTTTTATTTATTTGAAGAAAGTTATGTGTTTGTAGTCTTCAAATATAATTATTACTAAGGGTAAAAAAGGAAAATAATAATCAATTTTATGATCTTAAACTTCTAAAGTGACAAATAATTTGAGATAACTATTATTAGAAACCACGACAGATAATTCAAGAAGGAGGAAGTATTAGAGAGAAATAAAAAAGAGTATAGGACAAAATCTCCAAGCTCTCTATTCTAAGTATAGACTGCTTTTATCCACATTTTTACCATTACAATGAGAGCATTCACCAACATTAAGATATGGTCCCCTCCAACTCTCCCTAATCCATGTTTTGTCAACAAAAACCAGTACTTAAGCTACACTACAAATCCCAAATACTGGTCGGTTTTCTTTGTCTAGCTTGCTTTTTTCAAGACAATTAGCCGAGTAAATAATGTTATTTAAGACTCTTTTAAGGATGTTGTAGGCATAATCTTGTGCAAAAGAGTTGCTGAAATTTACAACTTCATGTGAACTTCCTTTCGGTTTGCGACAAGTAGCACTTGCAATTTGGCGACAGGTGGATTTCATTTCTTTTCAAGTTTTACTGTATTAGCAATAATTTTGGTGGTGATTTTTGGCTGTACTTTAACTGGATTATTAGATTGTATTTTACTCTAGTAATTTGTACCTCTAATTGGTAGAAGCATAATAAATTAAAAGTAATTATTTTTTTCTTTTAATATGGAATAGTGATAGGCTCCAATGGAGCAACATGAACATGACAATTCACGTTGTTGAACACAACTTATTTGTGATTGAGGTGTATATATTATTATTATTATTATTGTTGCTTTCTATGTTAGTATGTCAAAGACGCATTAAGTGTCAATTCAAGCTCTAAAAATAGTACGGGCTAGCAGTTTTCGGACTGGTTATTTATAAATAGTCAACGTTTGCAAAGTCAATGAAAAATAACCACTATTTTACTGCAACAGGGACCGGTCCAGCATAATATACTGGAGATCGGTGCACCTGTGTATGAACTTCCAACATATTATGCTGGAACTCCAACACGCGGAAAGTTCCAGCATAATATACTGGAGATTGGAGCACCTATGTATGAACTTCCAGCATATTATACCGGAACTCCGGTATATGCTGGAGTTCCAGTATACTTATGCTAGAACTCCATTATAATATACTGGAGTTCCGGTATACTTATGCTGGAACTCCAGTATATTATGCTGGAGTATTTTTCGGATTTTGAACAGTGTTTTCGTTCAGATTTATCTTTACATGAAAAGTGGCTAAATTTCGATTACTTTTGAAACTGTGGCTATTTTTGAATGACCACTTCTAAATCTGGCTATTTTTGAATTTCTCCCTTTCAAGCTTCCTTCTGCCTTTGCACTCGAGAGCCACTCTCCATCCGGCCCGAGGAAATTTCTTCATGCCTCCATTACCTTTTGGGAGGACATGCTTCTAACCGCAATATATTTGGCGGTAATCATGATTTTTGTCTGAAAAATTTGATCGGAATACTACTCACGCTGAGATAAATTTTGTGATGGAGATTTGGAGATGCGACCTATTGAAGGTTAAATCTAGCCAAATATGGTAGATTTATAATTTTCTTCTACAAGAAGAAACACCCGATTATGATAAATATGTTTACCTTTTCTTCAAAAAATAGGAAAAACAAATATGGTAAGAAAATCAGGACAAACAAATAACAAGCTTCGTAGAAAGTATCTACCAATCATGACACGAGGTTATAACTCTAGTCCTTTCAAAGGGATATTTGATTGATGGCTCGGGCTTACCACCCCCCCCCCC